AATTTCTCACACCCACACCATTGAATGTGATATGGGACTAAGTTGACATCAATATTCTCTTTTTGCTCAATTTCCTTGGCATGGAGCCTTTCATAACTTTTCTCCTTATAGTTCTTTATCTAACAGAGTAAAACCTTCTTACATGCTGCTTAAAGGACCTTTTAAAAAAGCATTACTCAAATTAATGGTTTTCTTCTTTCCCTTCTTCCACCATCTCCTCAGGAGAATAAGCTATTGACCAAATTATGTTCTTTAGACAAAGAATTCTGAATGTCTCAGAGAATGGGGAAGGGTCAAGAAGAAGAAGAATATTAAATAGATGACTGTACTGGTTTTTATTTGTACCCTTTCCTTCTTCTATAACCTACTTCTAACCAGGTATCATGTCACTTATTGATCCTTAGTTTACTCAATTCTTCTTCCCCCCAAAGTTATCTGAACCAGGGTATCTCAGGACTTAACTTTCATTTCAAATGACTTGTACTTTGAGTTGTACTACAGTTGTAATAGGTGGAAACAGCCTACTTAGGTGAAGAAGACTTGGTCAGATTGAACTTTTGAATCATGCTAGAGACAGAAAGCCTCTGAGTTTAAAATCAGACTTGAATCCTAACTGATATCAGTTGTCTCTGAGACCTTGGTTAAGTCACCTGTCTCTGACTCAGTTTTTTTTTTTTCATTTGCAAAATGATGAAGTTGGACCTTAGCATCTAAATTCCCTTCTAGCTCTTAATCTATGATTCTCTAGCTCTGGGGTTCTTAACCTAGAGTCCATGATTAAAAAAAAACAAAACAAAACCACAACATGCATATATTTTGATAATTATATTTAATACAGTTTTTTAGTAATTTTTATTTCTTTTGAAGTCCTATGCATTTGATTTTATTCATTTAAAAACATTCTTCAGAAAAGGTTCCCTCAGACTGCCAAATGGGTCCAGGACACCAAAAAGATTAAGAAACCCCTGCTCTAGGAAAATGTATGAATGGAGGTGTAGTGATGACAATGATAAGAGATGTGTTATTTTGAAATTCCTAAACTGAAATTACTGAGTAGTCTTATTTCCCCTTATCTGGTTTTCAATCCATTTCTTATCATTTTCAGAGCAATAAATAATAATGTAACCACTGCTCAAAAATAACAGATGTTTCATATCTTTATGCTACCTCATATTCAGAAGCCCTCAAACTCTTCTGTATTCTCTTAAAAGAAAAAAAAAAGAAATAATGTAGCCTGTGTTTAAAAATAAGCCATTGTATCTCAGAATGGAGATGGGAATGCTAATTAAGGGTGTTTGCATGAACAAGTCACACTTCATTGTCCTCTCAGTTCTGGTTGCCAATTGCTTTGCTGGTAAGGAGTCAAGAAAAACACTCTGGAAAGGCTACTGGAGTCTTGGGAGAGACGCATTTTATCAAGGAGGCTCGGCAGCCTGCTCCATTGGGTGCTGGCTGCCTGGTGAAATGGTTCTTTTCATCTCAGCAATGACATCTGGCCTCCCAGGGAGATACATACTGCTTAGGTCTGATAATGGATAACGGGGCTCACGTGCCAAGATAGGTGATGACTGAATTTTTCAGTGCCTTTTTATTTCCCCAATATGTTATTGGTTTTTTTTTTTGGCTTTGTCATTATTCTGGGGATCTTCCAAGGGGCACAGACTTTAAGATACCCTGTAGCTTTCTGGGTCTTGCAGGGAAATGGATTATATCACTTGAAAGAAACCAGGTAGATGGGTCAGTATGATTTACCTTTCCCGTAAGCATTGTACAAGCTGGAAATGCCAAAGGGATGGAGAGGTTTTATTTTAAGATGCTTCTTCTATGTCTTATAATGTTGTGTTCAGCTAAATTCAATATTCTGCAACCAGCTAGGTTAAAATCTTCAATGATTTTATAACATTCAAATAAACCTGAAATAATTTAATTGAATTTTAAAGAGATCAAAGTTCTGTATGGATATGTTTTGGGGAATAAGAGATGGAGAACCCAAGATATCACTTGGGGAAGTTGTTGCGATGCATCATGGCATGGATCTTACAGCATATTTCTGCATGTCATGATAACCTTTCAATATGTCTTCCTTCCCTCTCCATTCTCCCCCTCCTCCAGTGAATTCTTGTGACTTTAAGATGATTCATCTTCTGCTCTGTTTGTGCCTATAATTAGTCAAGTAGCAGTTCTTTAAAAAGAAGTCTGTATAAGTTACATTGCAAATGGATATGAAGAAACAGGTGTTCAGTGGGTAAGGGAGGCTACCTGAGGAAGAAAATTACTCAGGGTCTGTAGCTTTGTTTTAAGACCCTATTTTGCCTTCTATCCCACACTCAAAAGATATGTACTTCTAGGGAGAAATGAAAATCGTGATTAATGGAATTATATAGGTATATTTAAAGATGTACTTTTAAGTATTTTAAATCAATGAAGTTGAGGAATGGTATTTTATAGGGTCATTTGTTTTTTTTGCTTCTTGTATTTTTTTTAGGAATAATTGGAAAGAATCTGTGTCTCCACAGTAATTCAACTAAATAATAACTAGGTTAAGAACATATATGTCTGTTTACCAAGTAGAGTCAAAAGTGTTACTGTGCATAAACTTGTATGTGTGCTGAATAGTTCCCATGTTTGTCATATTACTGTATCTTATTGCTAGTTTTCCTCCAAGAAGGTAACCTGAATGTATAATATGAAACCTTGAGGGATGGGTAGAAGGGAGAGGTGAGGGAGGGAGTGGTGAATTTAGGCAATTTAAAATTAAAAGACGTCAATAAAAATTTACTTTAAAAAAAAAAGATGAGTTAAGGAACTTCCCATAATCAATAGGTTCTCCAGCAGTCATGGAAAACTAGAGATCAAGAAGATTTGCCTCACTCAAAAAGAAGATGCTGGAAATATAATGGACCAACTGAACATAGGGAAGGGGGTTTATATCAAAAAGGGTAAAATCTCAGAAATTATAAACCTGATAGAAAAAAAATCTCATAGGACTTCTAGAAAATATTCTATTCGAAGCTTAAAGCAGTTAAGGTCAGATTTTCAAAGCCAAATTCAAATACAAGTGAATAGATAGGTGAGAGAAAAAAGAGAGAGAGAGGAGAGAGAGACAGAGACAGAGACAGAGAGATAGAGACAGAGACAGATAGCGACAAAGAGAGACACACAGAGAGAGAAACAAGCATGAATCAAGTGCTTATTATGTGGCAGGTACTGTGCTAAGCACTTTACAAATGTTATCTCATTTGACCCTCACAACAACCTTGGGAGGTAGATGCTATTATTATCCCCATTTTACAAATGAGGAATTGAGGGACACAGAGGTTTAAGTAACTTGCCCATTGTCACACAGCTATAAGTAACATCGGATAGATTTAAATTTGAGTTTCTTAAATCTAGGTCCAGCACTCTATCTACTGTTCCACCTAGCAGCCTAGGTAAACAGACAGACAGACAGATAAATAGATAGGTAGAGATCTATATATAGAGAGAAAGGTATATATCTCTCTATAGAGAGACATAGAGGGAAGGATATAGATCTATAGATATATTCACTTGTATTTGTATAGTCTATATAATTTTTATTTATATATGATACATATCCATATGTATTTATGGATATATTCATGAGTATATATGTGTGTATATACACATATTTGCTATATAATATATGCACATCCATATATGCATGATACGATGTGCGTATGGATGTATGCATATTTACTATGTAATATATACATCCACACATATATTCTATGTGTGCATGTATATGTATGTATATATGTGTGTGCATACATATGTATACATCTATGTATATATACATATGCCTATATACATATATATCTGTAAGATATTAAAATCTATTTGGGCAAGGATGTGAGGTCAAAGACATGTAATTTCATCATTGCAGCAAATTCTAGTTGTTAAAACTCCCTCCACAGGTACAGATCAGCAACAGTCAGCAATATATAGACTCTGAGAGTTATCTAAGATACCCAGAGGTTAAGGGAGCTGATAGTCCCCCAGCTAATATGTATCAGAAGCTAGACTTCCAGGTCTTTCTGATTCCAAAGTTAGCAGCCTTCTACCCACTATGCCAAGGTGCCTCTTCTCAAAACTGAACTGCTGTGTGTGAAGTTCTACAAGCTAGAGCAAATGAACCATTTGTCATCTTGCAAAGAAAGGGTGTGTTTCATTTTTGCCCAGCACAGTGCTTGATACATAGTGGGTACTCCATAAATGCTTGTTGTTTGGTTGGTTAATTGATTGATTACATTGTGGAATCACTTTTACAAATTATTTCAATGAACTATTTTTCACAACTTTATGATTGCCACTTTTCTGTTACAACTCTTCTTCTGGAAAATGTAATTCTGTGGATGTCTTGTCTATTAAGATTGCTTTGTGTGCTTGGATTTGAGCTCCAAGAGAAACCACTTTGCTCAATGGCAGGGCTTCTTAACATTATATACATTAATTTGGTATGGTTTATATATATACATATATATATATAATTTTGATAACAATTTTAGTATAATTGGTTTCCTTTGTAAACCTGTTTATTTTATTTTATGCATTGAAGAACATCAATTTGAGGAGGTGTCCTTAGTTTTCACCAGACTGCCAAAAGGCTCTATGAAAAAGATTAAGAACTCCTGATGTACACTATTTTTGAAATAGATTTTGGTTTGATGAAGGCAGGAGCCCTGGGTTAAAGTGGTAAAATAAACCCTTTTATCTTAATCTGTCTTTAGATTAAATCTAGTTAAATCTGGTTTGCTGTGAAGTTCAAAAATACTTTGATTCTATCTCTTCCTTTTCAATTTGCTCTCTCTCCCTGCCCTCTAGATAACTCAGCAGCTGCTTAGGACCTAGTTTGTTGTTAGGGGTCCCACCCATTTGAACAATGCTCCTCAAGAAAAACATTGAGGTCCTTGAATGAAATGTGTTCCAAGACCAATAAAAGCTCTTCATATTTTCTCAGTTGTACTTTCTTTTTTTTCTAGAAATGTGTACTGTACTGGCCAGAAAAGAGAGGGATATATGGAAAAGTTGAAGTCTTAGTTCTTGGTGTGAAAGAATGTGATAACTACACTGTCCGAAACCTTACCCTAAAGGTAAGAAAAACCCTTCTCCAAAATAAATATTAAGATTGTAATAAATCATTTGCATTATGTGTCACATAATAAAATTGCCATTTAGTAATAATAGATACATAATTTTCTAGAAAATCTGTGATTTGAAATCAGTGGTGCTTATTAAAATAATCCCACTAGATTTAAAGAAAATCCAATAATTTTACAATTGTAATAAATTAAAATCAGATCCTAAATTTATTTTAGTCAGTCTGAATATGTAAATCAATGGAATCAGCATAAATAGACCCTTAAATTCGTGATGAAGTGTTATGATTTTTTTTTCATAGATGAAGGATTACTGATTTAATTTGTTGAAAGGCTTTTCAAAATAGAATTTCAACTACTTTTTCCCATGCACATTTGAGGTATTACCATAATGAAGGGCAAAAAGTTGCTTGGACCTGACTATCATTAACTAAAGCATGGCAACTGTGAAGAAAATCTGTGCTGGCGTGTGGCAAGATAAGACAGACGTGCTAATGAGATCTTCAAAAACTTAGAGTTAATTTATAGTGACTTTCCCCAGGCCAGACTCTTTCACAGCAAGACAACATAGTATTCACTGATGCTTGAGAATATCCTAGGAGATTTAGCCATGAAATTATTTTCACTGTGTGATAACTGACCCCAAAGATATCAATCTTATCTAGATCATCATGTATAGGTTAAATAAAATTTAGATTGTAATTGATTTTGTTGAGAAAATTTGAATAGGAGGGTATACGCAGAAATTTGTCATAAGCAAGTAATAGTAAAACAGAGTTTGTATATAGTTATGTGTGTATTTTTATGGTAGGGGGTGTGTTTATGATAAATAGCAGGAGTGAAAGACATAAACATGTCAATTTAAGAATAATTAATTTAAAAGGATGAAAGGATACCACACTCTCACATCTAAGTAAAACTTGCTCAAGGTGAGGAGATCTTTTCAAAATGTACCATTTCCAAATGATCATAAGACGACTTTAACACTGTAATGGATCTATCCATGATCTTGTCAATGGTGGGTATGTTGATTGCGTCTCATCTGTGACTTCTCATCTTGGATGATTCTTATTAGACACAAGAATTCCATTTCTAAATAAGCTGTCCACTAAATACTTGGAACAAAACAAATCACCCTGAGGTTCAATACATGGACTGGATGTCATTTTGGTCCATTGTGAGGCTGAGGTATGTTTTTGTTGCCTTTGTACTCTTTTCAGCAAGGAAGTCACACCCAACATGTGAAGCATTACTGGTATACATCTTGGCCGGATCATAAAACCCCCGACAGTGCTCAGCCCCTCCTCCAACTCATGCTGGATGTAGAAGAGGATAGAATTGCCTCTTCGGGCAGAGGACCTATAATTGTACACTGCAGGTAATGCACACATAGACCCTTTTCTGAAGGCAGATATCTAGTTAAGAAATGGGTAAGGTAGAATGTCTAGTTAAGGAGTAGGAGGTGATGGAGTAGGTATTGGGGAGCTAGGTGGTGCAATGGATAGAGCACCAGGCCTGGAGTCAGGAAGACCTGAGATCAAATCCAGTCTCAGACACTTACTAGCTGTGTGACCCTGGGCAAGTCACTTAACCCTGTTTGCCTCAGTTCTCTTACCTGTAAAATGAACTGGAAAAGGAAACAGCAAGCCACTCTAGCATCTTTGCTGAGTAAAGCCCAGATAGGGTTATGAAGAGTCAGACAGGACTGAAATAACTCAACAACAATATACTCGGGATTTGCCAAATACCTCCTATGCATGAGTTACCTTGGAAAGCTAACATTTCAGTGAAGCTAGCCAACTGATGATTCCACAGATCATCTCAATTTGTTTTGAATTCCCTTTCATCATCTATCACTGGGTGATGCTGTTTCCATGGCATATAAAGATAACAACCACAGCAACTATAATATTTATATAACACTTTAAGGTTTGTCAAGTGCTTTACAAATATCATCGTATTTTATCCTCACAATAACCCTGGAAGGTAGGTGTTATTACTACTCTCATTTTACAAATGAGGAAACTGAGGCTGAGGGAAATTAAGTAAGTTTTCCAGAGTCACACAGCCAGTAAATGAGGCCAAATTTGAACGCAGGTCTTCATGACTCCAGGCACAGCACTTTATTGACTGAACCACCTAGCTGCCTCAATAACCTTATAGTGCCACTCGAGAAAGAAAACTCTTCTTCTACCATGCCACTAGGGATGTAAAAGCTAATATATATAATGTATGTATATATATATGTGTGTATATATACACATACATACACATACATACAATATATATACACATATGTTATAATATATAATATTATATATTATGACATATGTATGTATATATCATACATATCCTATAATAAGTATATGACCAAAAATAAGTATAACAAGTATATGATAACATTATTCAGACTATGGCAATGGTCCTTTTGAATAACATATAGATCTTTGCTTTGTGGTACAGGGACTTGGAGTCAGGAACACCTCAGTTTGAATCCTGCCTCATACACTTAGTAGCAAGTCACTGGGCAAGTCACTTGAATTCTCTGTGCCTCAGTTTCCTCATCTATAAAACAAGGATAATAATAATAGTGATAGCACCTGAATCTCAGGGTTGTAAGTATCAACGGAGGTAACATGTGTAAGGCACTTTGTGAAATCTTAAGGTACAATATAAATGCTAGTTATTATTATGTCAATGATTGGTAAATTCATGTGTGTCAGTGTTTAGAGCTTAATTGAGTAAAAAAGACTATCTAAATAGTCTCCAAAAAATTTCCGTCTTGAAAAACTACACCTTGTATTTCCATTGTTCTGGTTCACATTTATTTATGAGAGACTTTGTGACCTAGTAGATAAAATACTAAACTTAGAGTTGTCCAATTGTTTCTGACTCTTCATAACCCCATTTTCGAGTTTTCTTCACAAAGATTCTGGAGTAGTTTGCCATTTCCTTCTCTGGCTCATTTTACAGATGAGGAAACTGAGGCAAACAGGGTTAAATGACTTGCCCAGGGTCACATAGCTAGTAAGTGTTTAAGACCCAATTAGAACTCACAAAGATGAGCCTTCCTGACATCAGGCTAGACCTGGCTCTCTATCCACTGCTCCACCTAGCTGGAGTTAGAGAGACCTGGGTTCAAATCCTGACTCCAACACATAGATGTATGGTGATGGGCAAGTCACTTGACTTCTCTGATCCTCAACAAACTTATTTGCAAAATGGGGATAGCAATACCTGTAGCCCTGAATTCACAGGGCTATTGTGAGGTTCAACAGAGATAATGCACTTATAGGGTTTTGCAAACTTGAAAGAGCTAGAATATTAGGCCTGGATGTCAGGAAGCCCTGGATTTTCAGTCACAACTTTGAAATGGACTGAGTGTGTGATAATGGCAAGTTGCTAAACCTCCCAGTGCCCAGGTAACTCACTAAGACTATACCTTGGACATTAGTTGCCAATAGAATTCTATTTCTGAAAGTTTCCATCCTGGAGTTCACTACTCTGATTAAATCACAGATCTGGACTAATAAATAGAAAATATCAGTTATTGCGTTACTTTCTTTTTTTTCAGTGCTGGGATAGGCAGAACTGGGTGTTTTATTGCCACGTCCATTGGCTGTCGACAATTGAAAGAGGAAGGAGTGGTCGATGCACTCAGTATCGTCTGTCAGCTTCGTGTAGACAGGTGAGTTGCTAAGAGAACTGGGAATCAGAGACCTTCTAAGATCAGAGTGGCATTGACCAGTAAAGGAGACACATTTCTTGCTGACCTTGGATGTTTTAAGCCTAGCTGACTCTAAGCAATTACATATCAGTGCCATGAGACTGAAACACAAGGAGGATATAATATGTTGCATTTAAAAAGCCACATTAAAAAATTGTTGCTTGGGCTGCCAACCATCTGAAGCCCCCTATTCTGAAGCCCATGTTTAGCACTTCCATTTTTATGTCCCCGTGTGTTTGTGGTGAGAGCTGTTAACACCTCCTTCCTTCCCCTCATTTTTTTTCTGTTTCTTTTTCTGTGCTTCGTACTTCCATGTACTTTGATTGCTGATGTTCAGCATTGGAATCCACTAAAATGGTCCATATGTAGCATGATGAAAAGGGTTGTTTCAGGGAGGGAAGATATGATAAACATTGGGGTAATCTATACTTTATGGCATAGACTCCCATTTTTATTTCTCCATAACTAAAGCATGTAATATATAAATTTAAGGGGGAAGGGAGGAAAAGGGTGGGAGTAAATACAACGTGGAACTACTTTGGGATGAATGGGTCAGTGATAATGAATGAACCATAGCCAGGGAAGGATGACTAGGTCTTTGACCAAGAAAACTAGAATTCAGAGAGTACAATAACAGCCCTTGGAGGAGCAGCTAAGTGTGGGGCCTGGAGTCAGGAAGATCTGAATTCAAATCTGGACTCAGATACTTGCTACCTGTGTTACCTTGGGCAAATCACTTAACCCCTATTTGCCTCAGTTTCTCATCTGTGAATGGGGACACAGTGGAGAAGGAAATGGGAAACTACTCCACTATCTTTGCCAAGAAAAACCCCTGGACAAAGTTGATGGGATCTCATAGAGTCAAACATAACCGAATGACTGAGCAACAGCAAATAACGATCCTTGCACTGTTCCAGTGGGTAGAAGCAACTAAGAAACAAGAAAAATTAGTTAAAATAGGAAGGTCCCAGCCTGGCAGGCAATAAGTGTTTATTAAGCAGTTACTATGTGTCAGACACTGTGCTAAGTGCTTGGGATATAATTATATGGGAGGGGGAGGAGAGAGAGAGAGAGAGAGAGAGAGAGAGAGAGAGAGAGAGAGAGAGAGAGAGAGAGAAAGAGACAGAGACAGAGAGACAGAGAGAGACAGAGAGAGACAGAGAGAGAGAGAGAGACAGAGAGAGAGAGAGAGAGAGAGAGAGAGATGGAGGAAGGGGGAGGGGCAGAGTTAGAGACAGAGAGTAAGTCTTCGCCCTTACGTAGCTTACTGAATAAGGGGTGTAGGGAGGAGGTACCCATGAAGGGGCATAGTGTCAAGCTCCAGAGAGTCAGAAGGGGGAAGGAATGCAGGATGACCGGCCTGGGTCCCATCCCAAAATGAAGGTCCCAGGAAGAACTCACCAAGGAGAGAAGGGGTCTGGCATATTAGAAGGACATTCCAAGATGATAAGGTCTCAGGGACTAAGGGAAGTTCCAGAGTGAAAAAGAAGGCATGGAAGCAAGGTCCAGATCATTAGAATCAGAGCTGGGGAGGAAGGCATACTTCCTTTCTCTACTACATATTTCCTGTCTGGCCCCACCCTGTTCCTTCCCCTCCCCAACCACAGAGCCTTAGGGTCTCTGTTCCCTCATAACCAGATGGTGTCTTGAAGTTCCCCTCTCCCCCAACCTTTGTGCCTCAATGTCCAAATTCTTTCCTCTCTCACCTGGATCTGTCTTGACAAAGCTGATTTGAGGTTGCCTCTTAGTATGATTGTCCCAGGCATCAGAATTGCTGGATGTGATTCTGCAAGGATGAAATAGACTTTAAGGATCAGAGCCTAATAAAGCAGAATGTGAGTCTTTACCGTGATAGTCTCTATTCCCTCTCTATATTTCACTCTGCATATTATTATCAGAGAGGATAAGGAATGCTGAGTTGAGAGTCCAGAGACCTGATTTCTACAACTGGCTCTATCACCAATTAGTGGTGTGTCTTTGGATAAATCACACCATTTCCCTGGGCCCTACAGTGTCACAAAATCATGAAATTTGGGAGTTGTCTAACCTATACATAAAAGAAGTCCCCACTATAACATATGGGACAAGTAGTCGTCTTGTCTCTACTGGACCTTAAAGGAGGGAGGACCCACCAACTTTCTAGGCAGACTTGCTCTTCTTTGGGGGCAATTCTAATCGCTGCTCACCAAGCATTTATCGGGTGCCTACTATGTCGTAGGCATTGTGCTAAAAGGTTTTCCTGACATTGATCCTAAATATGCTTCTATGTTATTTCTACCTGGGGTAACTAGATGGATCAGTGGGCTCAACTCTGGGACTGGAATCAGGAAGACCTGAGTTCAAATCCAGCCTCAGACGCTTACTAGCTGTGTGACCTTGGGCAAGTGATTTAACTTCTATGTGCCTCAATCCACTGAAGAAGGAAATAGCAAAACACTCCAGTATCTTTGGCAAGACCATACTACAGTCCAGGGGGTCACAAAGAGTTGGGCACAGCTGTATCAACTGGACATGGATAACAGCAATTTCTACCTATTCCTCCTGGTTTTGCCATTGGAGTCAAATAAAACAGGTCTGGTCTCTGATAGTTCTATAAACGTCTGTGCCCCCTGCATCTTCTCTTCTCCAAGCTAAACATTCCTGGTTTCTTCAACCCATGGATTAAGGGCTCTTCATTATTCTGATTGACCCCCTCTGGACACTTTATGATTTAGCAGTCTCTTTCTTAAACCTCTGTGCCCGGAACTAAATACAATATTCCCAAATGAGGTCTGATGAGGACAGTGGGACTATAATCTCCCTGTTCTTCAAATTCATGCCTTAGTTTCCTCATCTGTAGAATAAAGGGGTTGAACTTGCTCTAAAGGTCTCTGATTTTTCTGGCTGCTGGCAGTCTGGGGGTGGAGAATTCAATTCACCTCATATCTTCTTGTTTGTAGATATTTTATGGAGTGTTTCTCTATCTGCCCCCACCCCTTAACGTCTCCAACAGAGTATTTATATATAAAATATGTTAGTATTGTGAGTGAGTGTATCGATGAAAGGGAGTAATGAATAAGAGAAGTGTACATAAATGTAATAATACGTTACATATGTATGGCCCATAGATAACATACATTATTTCATTTGGTCACCATATGGATCAAATTATTATTATTGGTGTCATAAGAAGTATTTACATATTATACATATTTACAATTCTTCCCCCACCACCAAACAAACCCCCCAAACTTTCCATAAACATCACATATGAATTTATTATAAATTCAATAGTATCAAATTTTCATTGTTTTTCCTTGACTTTTTCCACTTTTCTCTTTCTGTAATGTGTTTTTTCCCCCTTCAGCTAGTTCTTCTGTCTCTTTTATATGCCTGTATGTATCAGCTTTTCTGATCGCCCAGAAAGTCTTTATTACCATGATGCTGATGCTTTGTTATTCCTTTCTTCCCTTTTCCTTTTAATGAGCTCTCTTTAAGTTGTTTCTTTGTAACTTTAGCTTGCCTTCTATTTTTACCCCCATCACGTTGGCTGACTCACAAAGGTTTTTCCTACGGTGCATTTATGTTCACAGAATCATAGGATTTCAGAGTTAAAAGGAACCCTAGGAGATGTTTAGACCAACCCATACCCCCAAAATATCCCCTCGCTAACCTACCCTACAACTGGTAATCCAGCCTCTGCTTCAGGATTTTCAAAAATGAGGAACCCACACCTTTTGGATGTGTTGGGATAGTTTTAATTGTTAGGGATCTTTCCCTTATATAAAGCCTCAGTTTGTCTTTTTGTAATTTTCAGCCATTGCTGTTAATTCTGCTCTCTAGGGACAAGAAGAAGTGTAGTCCAGGAGTGGGGAACCTGCGGCCTTGAGGCCACATATGGCCCTCTAGGTCCTCAAGTGCGGCCCTTTGACTAAATCAAAAAAGGGCCGCACTTGAGGACCTAGAGGGATTTGTTTTGTAGATAGCGATTGTAGATATGTGTGTAGATAGCTTTAGAAGATAGCTATTCCATCCTCCCTCAGTTTTCTCTTCTCCAAGCTAATGGCTCCCAGGGTTTTCTTCAACCAGTCCTCTTACGGCATGAAGTCACTGAAATCATGTTAAGTCATAAACAGGACACTGTGTTAAGTGTTAGACGTACGAAGAAAAGCAAAATTTCCTGTCCACGAAGAACTCTCAATCTAATTGGGGAGGCAATATGCAAACAACTATGTCCTAGCAAGATCTATACAAGATAAATTGGAGATAATCAATAGAGGGAAGGCACTAATATTAAAGGGGATCGGGAAAGGCTTCCTGTAGATGGTGGGATTTTCGCTGGAACTAGAAGGGAGTTGGAGATGGTAAAGAAGAGGGAGAGAATTCTAAGAACAGGGGAGAGTCAGTGATAATGCCCAGAGTGAAGATGAAATGTCTTATAAGAGGATCAGCTAAGAGACCTATGTCACCCATGTCAGAGTACGTAGAAGGCAGTAAGGTACAAGAAGGTTTAAAAGTAGGAGGTAAAACTCAAGACCTTTTATTATTTCTTTTTTTTGTTTGTTTTGTTTGTTTGTTTGTTTTTGGCTAGGCAATGGGGTTAAGTGACTTGCCTAGGGTCACACAGCTAGCAACTGTCAACTGTCTGGTCTGAGACCAGATCTGAACTCAGGTCTTCCTGACTCCAGGGCCGGTGCTCTATCCACTGCACCACCTAGCTGCCCCTCCTTTTATTATTTCTTGCTGCTTTCTGATATTCTCTAGTTTTCAAAGTCATTCCTAAAATATGGGCTCAGAACTAAACAAAATATGCCCATGAGGTCTGTCCAGGGCAGGGTACAGTAGAAATCTCACCTCCTTATCCCTTCGTTTCATGCCTTTCTGTTCAACCCAAGATAATATTAACTTTCTTGGCAATCGTAACACTGTTGACCCATAGTGATTGGTGTTGTACTTCTTCCTCCCATGCTTGGCTTTCCCTC